GGCTCCGGTTTTTTGGAAAAGGTGGGAAAATTTTTTTTTTTTTTTTTTTTTTAAGTTGGGCGGGGGGAAGTGGGAGAGTGGGACTATTAAAACCTGTTCTCTTTAGAGATCAAAGGGGAAGCCTGCTTTGTTGGCCAAACAATATGTTTCTTACACCTGAATTTAGTTTGAAAGTGAATGGCCTGATAAGGAAGAATTCACATCAGTGAGGTGTAGGTATTTATAATTGGGGCCTCTTACACATTGCCACCTCCATGATTACAAGACTTTGATAGACTGGTGACTTCTCTTCCTTTAGCAAACAGAGGTACAGCTTTTGTCATCTTTACTGCAGATTCCTGTCAGCCCAGCCCAGCCCTCCATGGAAAACTGCACCATACATGGTATCATGGACTTCGGCAAGCTCCTCCTCCTGCCTTCCTAGAGCATCTCCACTTTGAAGGATACATAATCAATCATGCTTTAATTTCTAAGAAATAAGTTCTTGTCATAATTGAATAAGTCATCGCACTTTTTGGCAAGATTAAACGTTTTTATATATCCCTTTTTATATACTAACTAGCTAGTCTTGTATACAATCACAACCTTCAGTATATTTTAATCCATATTATTTTTATATATTAACTAGCTAGTCTTAACCAGTTCATTTTCAAGTAGTATCTAAATGCTGATGAATTCTAGACCTCAGGTATTTAGCTACTTTCCTGCATCTTCATTTAGATATAAAATAGATCTCTCAAATGTATATAAGACTGTTTGACAACATGGTAATTTTCTGCCTAACAATCTACTTAGCCCCAGGAATTTTAATTTTATCTCAATAAATGCCTATTTTTTTAACCTTCTTTACATGGTAATTTTAAAGAAAAAAAATGGAAGAAACTTCTGGTAGTCTTTGACCCCACCCTCACATTTCATATTCTATTAACAAATAGATACTTGTAAAATATACATAATTTGTACATTCTGGTTAATATTGAATCAGATAGAAAACAGGAACTGAGGTTACCAGGAAGAAAATATTCAAGTAGGAAAACAGAATTCAGTTCTTAATGGAGACACAAAGTCCTAAGGAATTATTTTACAGTGTTTCAACTCCACCTTGAACCTCCATTCACCACCTATGGGGTTGGGTAAGAGGGCTCTTGGCCTGAGAAGGAGCTGCCACCCAGGACCCTGGGTATTACTGAGTAATCGGGACAAAGGAAATAGAAGTAAAGAAGAAATCCAGACTTCCTGGAGACCCACAACACCTTGGAGTCCCCAGTATCCATGGTGTGAGGCTGTGATGTCAATACTGAGGTCACAGAGGTGACCTGATGGCCTGGGTTCCAGCCCAGAGGGCCTACGGGGTGGCTGTGCAGCAAGATGAGGGCTGTTTGGAGTCTAGCCTAAGAGGAAGGACGGGGCCACAGCACATTGGTATGTATTCCCCAGGCTGGGCCTTTTCTTTTTTTCTCCCCCTTGTCCTCTCATTCATCAACTGAAGTCCTCTTTCCCTGGGCCCTGTACTTCCTCCCCTGACCAACATCTCTTATTCATAATTCCCCTAAAGCTGCCCATTACAAGGAATCTCATGGCCCTTTCCATGTGGCCCCTACAGTTTTCTCTGCCCTAAGACCCAGGCCCTCTTTACGCTCCTCCCTTACTTTCATCGTGGTTTGAAAAGATGATCTTGGTCTCCTATCCCCTTCCCATCCCCTCAGCTGTGTTCCCACAGACCTGGGCCTCATGCTGCCCACCATGGCCAAAAGTGGAGAGGCTCTACCAGAGGGCAGCTCAGCACCAGCCCAGGATTCCCACCTCATCAGGGTGACAGTGAAGACACCCAAGGACAAGGAGGATTTCTCAGTTAAAGAGACGTGCACCATCCGACAGCTGAAAGAAGAGATATCGCACCGTTTTAAGGCGCACCCAAATCAGCTCATCCTAATCTTTGCTGGAAAAATCCTCAAGGACTCCGACTCACTGGTACAGTGTGGAGTGCAAGATGGCCTCACCATTCACCTGGTCATCAAGATGCAGTACCGTACCACAGGCACTGAGTCCTCAGCTACATCAGTCTCTAGCCCAGGCCCAAGTCCTGGGTCACTCCCTCAGTCCAGCTCCATCTACCCAGTGGATGGGTCTCCTTCCTTCAGCTTAGGTGTCCTCACAGGCCTCAGTGGGCTGAGCCTGACCTCAGGTAGCTTCCCGGACCAGCCAGGCTCAGTCATGTGGCAGCATGTCTCAGTGCCTGAGCTTGTGGCTCAGCTCCTTAATGACCCCTTCATCCAGGGTCTGCTGTCCAACACTAGCCTGGTATGCCAGCTAGTTCTTGACAATCCTCATATGCAGCAGCTGATCCAGCAGAACCCTGAGATCGGGCATATTCTCAACAACCCTGAGATAATGCGGCAGACCATGGAGTTTCTATGTAACCCTTCCATGATGCAGGAGATGATGCGCAGTCAGGACCGTGCACTCAGTAACCTGGAGAGCACTCCTGGTGGCTACAATGTGCTTCATACCATGTACACAGAAATTATGGATCCCATGCTTAACGCAGTACAGGAGCAGTTTGGTGGCAATCCTTTTGCTACTACCACTACTGCTAATGCCACCACCACCAGCTGCCAACCTTCAAGGACAGAGAATTGTGATCCTCTCCCCAACCCCTGGATTTCTACACATGGAAGCTCAGGTGGCAGACAAGGAAGACAGCCTGGGGACCAGAATGCATCTGAGATTAAAAGTAGGGCCCCAAGCTTTCTAGGTAACATAGGACTCTTTGATTATCTCCAGCAATTACTTGAGAACTCCCAGTCCCTGGGACCCTATATGCAGGGTACTGTGTCCACTCCCAGTCCAAGCCAAGAACTACCACTATCAGGGAACAGAGTTCCTCCAACTTTACCCTCATCCAGGAAACCTGGGTCAGGCCAGCCTCTGCCCAAAGAGTCAGCAGCAATAAAGGGAAAGTCCTCCTGTACAGCTTTCTTGAGCCAGCCCCCAGAGAGCAGTACTGGGCAAGGTGGAAACAAACACGATTCAGGGAAGTGCTCTTCTGGTCAGAGCACCAGCCTGCCCAATCTCGTCTCTGGGCTAGGAGATTCTGCCATTAGGGCCCCCTTTGTTCCTACACCATTTTCCCGTATGGCAGCTACTCCTGGAGTCCCGGAGTCTCCTTGGCTGCCTCTAGCAGGTTACCCAAGGTCTCTGAGGCCAGCTGGCACAAATCAGGTCCCTCGAATGCAGAATGAGATTCCCCAACAGCTGCCGCTACTGCAGCACCTTCAGGCAGCCATGGCAAACCCCCGTGTCACACAAGCCTTGCTGCAGATCGAGCAGGGTCTGCAGATCCTGGCTACCGAAGCACCTCACCTCCTACTCTGGTTCATGCCTTGCCTAGCAGGGTTGGATGGAGCAGTGCGAAGTACAGAATCTAGAGAAGGTGCTGCTCTCAGGTCTGAGGATTCCTGCCCAGCCCCAGCTCCTCAGGTTTCCCCTGCACAGGGCTCTGCAGAGCTAGGCCTCCATTCCACTCCTTTTCTTCAGGTGTTACAAGCCTTAGCTAGTACCAATCCCCAGCAGCTACAGCTGGAGGCTCACTTCCGGGTACAGCTGGAGCAACTGCGAGCTATGGGCTTTCTGAATCCTGAAGCCAATCTTCAAGCCCTCATTGCTACAGAGGGTGATATAGATGCTGCTGTGGAGAAACTGAGGAAGTCTTAGGAGCTCTAGTTATTCGGACTGTAGCTTTCCCTTTGTGTCTTTTCCCTAATGCCTTATTACCCTAGTTTTGTTATTCTTAAATGCAGCGGCACTATAAACCAAATTTACTATGATGCTCTTTACTGTGGAGACAATATTCCAGAATCAATGAGGAAGATGACAAGCCAGAAATAGGGTGGGGATGCCATGTGTGACCCAACAGTGCCTGCTTCTGTCTTACCCCGGGACCCTTGACTGAGCTCTATGTATGCTTATCTTGAGATGTATTTAATTACATCCAATCTCCAGTGCCAGCTACCGTCTCTACCGTCTGAGTCTGATTCTTGTGGGCTGTGAGAAAAGGGGGAGGGCATGGGAGAAAAACCGGTGATAAACGCTGTTCCTATGGAGGGATTAGAGGGGAGGTTACAAGGTTAGAAGCTAGAGCCAAAGGCTTGGAGACTGGAGGGAATGATGGTGCCCCTCTTTGAAGTGTGAGATTTCCTGGTGCCCACGCAGAAGTCTTCCAGATTTTTGTACTGAAGAAAGTGCCACCCCATGACCTTCTTTATGGTACTTTCTATTACCAGCCTTGCTGAAGAAGGGACACAGTTTCTTATATTTACAGCTTCTGAAGAATATCTCACAGTATCTTGATACTATGTGAGTGAATGAGACATAGCAGCAAAGGACACAGACTGAGTGACAATGATGGGTTCCTGAATCTGGCCCAGTTTAATTGTTTCTTGTAGTCAGATTCAGAGAGGTGATTTTTAAAAAAAATTATTATGTGTCCCTGAGTGAGTTGGTACCTGTGGAGGCCAGAAGAAGGCATCAGATTTCCTGGAACTGGAGCTACAGGAGGTTGTGATTTGCTGATACGGGTGCTGGGAACTAAACACAGGCCCTCTGCTAGAGCAGTAAGTACTCTAAACCACTGAGTCATCTCTCTAGCCCCTGGAGAGTTTATTTCTTACAACTTCTAGTTTGAAAATCAAGTGGCCACCCTGTGCTCAGCATCTGCTAGCCATTGGAAATGTAATAGAATAAAATAGATACAACTCTACCGTCGTTGGTTTATGATATACTAGTGTCAAGTCAACTGTTCAAGTAAAATACAAGAATAATAATCATTTTATACTTAACTATAACCTATGATAAGCAGTAGGAAAAAAAAGGGGGGGGGGCTCAGCCGAAATGTGAGGATGTGAGTTTGAATCCTCAGAGTCCAGAGAGTAGCTAAATCGTAGCAGGAGGGTCTGCCATCCCAGTGCTCCAACAGGGGATATGGAGACAGAAGAGTCTTCAGAAGCTCACAGGCCAGCCAGCTTGCACACAATGGAACATCAATGAAAGAGACCCTGTTTCAAACAAGGTGGAAAGCAAGGACTGGCACCTCAGGCTGTCCTCTGATCTCCACACATACATATAGTACACACAGTGGCATGCACAAATACATACATACACATAATCATACATGCTTTCCCAAACACATAACAATGAAAAGCATAAAGGAGGCTTATTGGTAGTCTAGTCTGCATTATTGACAATCTAGTCTGGATTATTGACAGGCCTATCTGGAGAGACAGGAATGGCACCTGTGGGAGTGCACCCAGGGACAAAACTTGAAAAATGTCAAGAGTGAAACATATAAAGCTTTGAAGAGGGAGGGAAGGGATATTCCTGCTGAGGGCCCATTATACAGAAAGACTGTAGTAGGAGGGACATTTCCCCACAGGAACCCAGGTGAGATTCTTGTTTATACCCAGGGACATTTTCCCATTTCCTGTGTTTTTCAATGGTAAAAACGTTACAGTCCATACATCATGTGAGTCATGATTTCTAGTAACTACACACAGGAATGTGTCTGCAAATACACACTGGTAAGAAACACGGAGGTTAGAGAGATGGCTCAGTGGTAAGAGCACTGGCTGTTATTCCAGAGGACCTGGATTTGTTTCTCAGTACCTATGTGGTGGCTAACAATTGTCCTTAACCCCAGTTCCAGGGGATCCGGCACACACTTCTGGCCTCCACGGGCACTATACTCATCTGGTGCACTTACAAATGTGCAGACAAAATACTCGTATGCATAAAATAAAAGTGTTTCTAATTTATACCTTGAGAATTTCATATATGTATACAGTGTATTTTATCATATTCACCATGCTCTCTTCCTCCAGCATCTGGAAATCCCATCATTCCCTCTTAACTTTATGGCCTTTTTCTTTTTCATATAATCAACTGAATCCAATTACTGCTGTGCATATATACATGGGTGTGGGGCCACTCATCGGAGTATGGTCAACCTACCAGGGACCACACCCCTAAAGAAAACTGACTCTCCATCCCCTGCCAGCCACCAACTGTCAATAGCTGTCAGCTAAAGGTGGGGGCTCTGTGCCCCTCCCCTATCCATTCAGGAATTTTGACTGGCTTCATCTTGTTCAGTAACCACAGCTGCCCAAGTCCACTAGGGCAATAGTCCTGTCCTGTCCAGAAGACACCCTTCACCGCAGTCCTCCCTGACCTCTGGCTCTTACAGTCTTTCTGCCCTCTCTTCAGTGATGTTTTCTGAGCTTTGAGGGGTTGGAGGGTATATGTGATATAGATGCCCCGTTTATGGCTGGGAATTCCAGACACTTGTTCTCTGCACTTTGACCCACCCCATCTCTATTAACCCTCATCCACTGCACAAAGAACCTTCTCTGATAAAGACTGAGAACTGCTCTAATCTGTGGATATAGAGAGACATATTTAGAAGGCAATTTGATATTATGTGTATTTAGCAAAATAATGGTAGTAAGTTCACTCCCAGGGCATATGAGCTCACTAGTCACAGGGTCTTGGCCAGATTTACAGTGCCAGGCATGAATTTCCTCCTGCAGAGCAGGACTCTAGTCAATTCAAGAAGTGATTGGCTATTTCCTTAAAATGTATGACACTACCGCAATCATAGGCATATCTTACCGCACCAGTATTTACTATAGTTTACATGGTTCACAGCTGAGTAAGATTGCTGATGACTTTCCTCCCCAACAGCCTGCACAGCACTTTCTGGTACTATGCAATCTAGAGAACAAGGAGGAAGCTTCCAGGTCAGTACCAGCTTGATTTCTCAAGTCCTGTGACCAAAGTGTGTGGTGCCTTCAGTTGTAGGGTCTTACCATTAAGTTTCTGGTAGATAACCAAGAGTTATGGAAATAGCCTATGTTGTTTTGGGTTATCTGGAATCCTCCATGACCAACAACTCAAGGGAGGCACCCTGCACTTGGCAGTGGGCTTTTTATTTGGCAACATATGGCATTGTCTCCTGTACAGGGTAACTCCATTTAAATATATATGCAAGTTTATAAAATAGTTGTTTCTATATAGCCTTTTCAACCATCCTTAGTGTTAGTTACCCCTCCCTATGCCTTCTTCTTCGTATCCTACCATCCCCCTCTCCACTTAAACCATCTCCGCTCTTGTTCTCCATTCTCCTTTTGTGTCACTTTCCTACCAACACTTGAGAGCCCTCCACAGCTGAATGTTTGAAATCCCTGCTCTAGCTTCATTAGAGATTAAATTTAATCTCATGACCAGTTCCACGATGGTGATCCTAGGAAACAGGAGCCCCAGGTAAGATGTGGCACATAGAAAGGACTTATTAAATAATTTAATGATGGAAATTTGAAATATAAGAGAGTGAATGATTGAAAAAAATGGTGTGGGAGACTTGTTAATACAAATCAAGTTGACACTACCACAGAACCAGAGCTTGTGTCTAGCAGAGTAAGGGCTGTTGGAATTTGGGGCACAGAAGACCTTTGATTGGCTACTGTTACTCAAGTGCAGGTCTCCTGGGACTTCTCATCTGTTACACTCTCTCCGAGTTTTGCTATCTTCAATGGTCTAAGATAAAATATCTAGGCCATGACAAGACGGGATCTGAGGTTGTATTGGTAGAAAAGGAACGAGACTTAGCTTTGTTTATACTAGGCCTGGTGTCTGGTTCTTTCCAAAGAAATATCTTTTCCTCTATTGAGAAATTTGCTAGAAACCAAGCAAAACAAAACTAAAAATAGTGGTTAAATTTGTAGGACTGATCTGATCACAAACAAGGAGTTAGGAGACAGAAAAGTACTTTTCTGTGCAGCCCAGTGTTGTGGCTCACATCTAGAATCTCAGCACTCAGGAGGCTGAGGCAGGAGGATCTGAAGCAAGTCTGGTCTGCAAGACCCTCTCTCAAACGACAAAACACTTGGTTTAGTGGTACATGCCTGTAATCCCAGCACTCAGGAGGCAGAAAGAAGCCAGTCAGCCTGGTCTAAATAGCGAGTTCCAGACCAACTGGGACCGCAGAGAGACCCTGGCTCAAAAAAGTGCAGAAGAAAACACCAAACAGAAAATAGGTAGGCATAGCCACAGACAAAGTTTCCCTGGCTCCACTGAATAACTTCTCACCCGTGCTGACTAATTAACTCAGTGAGACACACACACACACACACACACACACACACACACACACACACACACAAGACAGGAGTGGGAGGGGAACTGGAGAAGATGCCAGTGGGAAAGGGAGGGGGATGAGGGGGAGGGACTGAGGGTGAAAATAACTAAAATTCTCGTACAAATGTATAAAACTGTCAAACACTAAAAATTAGAAAAGCCAAAACAGGGTAGCCAAAAAAAAAAAAAACAAACCCACAGAAAATGTTTCTATGCATTTATGTCCTTTTAAGAAATAAATTGTAACATTTGCATCACAATAAATGCCCATATTTTTCTAGATGTCAGAGTTTCTCTGCTTATGCTTAATTTTACTGATGGGCATTGTCTACTGAAGGTTTAATATTTGTCAGGTGCTGTTCCAGGCTTTGCATGTCTGATTCTATACAATGGTCCTTTAGCACAGACAACACTGCTGCTTTTCACTTACTTGTGAGGAAAGCTGAGTCATTTGAAGGGGCGAAGTATGCTGTTCAAAATTAGGAAGTGTCTTCCTGCTAGAGTCATGATTTGAACTTAGATGGTATGCTTGTAGCCCCCATGCTGTGAATCGCTGTTCCAAAACAATATCTGCTTTAATCCTTAGTTCCCAAGGCACAGATCAGGGCATGATTTGTGGTATTTAATAGAGACTTTTTACCCCTGACTCCTGCCAACACATGCACTGGATCAAAGCATGTTCCATGATCTTTTACACATGTGTATGTGTTTGTTCCTTTGTTTCCGATTTTATCTATTTACAGTTGTTACAACTCCAGAAAATTTAATAACAAATGGTACATACTCAGCTCATCATTCTTCAAAAGAAATCCCTTTGAT